CTCGCTATGCAGTTCAGGCTGGCCTTGAGCTCACTTTGTAGCTCAGGTTGGTCTCAAGCTCTAGACAATCCTCCTGCCTCAACCTCCCAAGTGCTGGGATTACAGGCGTGCCCCACCGTGCCCAGCCAGTATTTCTTTTTATCAGGCTCAAAACCTGGAATCACTTTTACCCTTCGGTTTTCTCCTTGTTTTTTCTTAATACTTTGATCTCATCCATAAGCAGCTGATGTTTTAACATTTGCGCTTTGTATTTCTCGCTGTGTCAGGTGTCCCTGACTTCCTGTGCACCTTCCTGCCGTGACCTCTCCGGGCCCTCCTCCCCTTTTGCACCCCTCTTCCAGACTGAGCGCTCACTTTATATTTATTTGCTTGGTTTCTTTTAGCTAGGAGCCCACTCTGCAGTCCAGGTCAGGCTGCCAACTTGGGATCCTCCTGCCTCAGCCCCCAAATTCTGTGTGTGCCACAGTGCCAGGCTGCAGAGGACAAGCTCTTGAAGAGCAAATTTATCTTCTGCATTTTATAAAAAAGACACCTTTGAAGATTCCCCGAAGGAAACATCTGGAACAGAATAAGTTCCTTTGAAATCTATCAAAACATTTAAAATTTTTATATTTTAAAAAATTTATCAGTACGTCTGAGTACCTAATTACATTCCTCATGGGTAAAAATATTTTTAGTTCGAAGTAAATACCAAAGGAAGTCTCACACGAAGTCCACGGTGCAGAGACGGGATGGGCGCTGGAGCTCCTGTGGGAAGGGGCCTGGGCTGGGCCGTGGGGCGGGGCTGAGGCGCATTCCGGGGGGAGGCGGGGACACCACTGATAGCTCTGGAATGGCCTCCAGGACGCCCTGCAGGACTCTGGCCAGTCACAGAGAGATGACACAGGAGATTAGGCTTAACCTCAGTGAGGAGGGCGTGTGCAGGGCCCTCAAGTGCAGGAAGGAATTTAACCCTGCTTCAGGCTCAGTGCAGCCGCTCGGAAGGGAAGAATGCAGTCAGATGTTCAAGGAGGGCTGGGTGGCCCACACCTGTGACTGCAGCACTCAGGAGGCTGAGGCTGGAGGATCCCCATGAGTTTGATGTCAGTGTGGGCTACATAGTAAGTTGCTGTCTCAAACAACAGAAACGAAGAACAAAATCAATGTTCAAGTAAAATGTTTCCCAGTGTTGCAGGTGGTGGCTTGGGGCCCTTAGTCTCCACCCTCTGTAAAGCCGTTTCGATTCAAGAAATGCCCCCAGCTCACCTGAGTGAACCCCAAACACCCCATCCAAGCCCGGTGAAGTCCTAACCAATGCTTCCAGCAAGCAGGTCAGAATCCCATTTTGATGGTTGCATAATATTCCCCATGTATTACTTATACACATTACAGCTTCTCCTGTCTTTGTCTTTTTCTTGTGGTCCCGGGGATAGAACCTGGGTATGCGGTCTACCCCTGAGCTACATCCCAAGGCCTTTTGACTTTATTTTGAGGCAGAGTCTCACTAAGTAGGCCAGGCTGGCCTTGATCTGGTCATCTTCCTGTCTCGGCTTCTCAAGTGTTACAGGCCTGTGCTGCCATGCCCTGCCCACGTTTTCTTTGTCTTGCGTCTGGTGGACACGGCAGGCAGTGCTGTACCTGAGTGGCGTGAACAGTGCTTTGCGATGGGCTGATTTCCCTTCCAGACACACCTGGCAGCGGGGCTGCTCTGGCCTTCAGTTCTCCAGGCCGTCTCTGTGCCGCTGCCTGTGCCAGCCGTGCCAGCTCCCCTTCCCACCTCTCAGCAGCCACTGCAGTGTTTCGCTGGTGGCCGCTCTGGCCGGCTGAGGGACAGCTTGCGCGGCCTGGGAACTAGTGCTACAGAGCCTTTGGCCCTGTGCCTGGCCCCTTGTTTACCCCCTTTAGAGAACGTCTTTCAGATTGTTTGTTCATTCTTTAATCAGATTGCCTGGCTGTTTTTACCGGGAGCTTTTGAGTTCCTTGTGTATTCTCAACACTGACCTCTTGTTGGAGTTCTTCACAAGTGTTTGCCCCAGTCTCACTCTGGTATTTCTTTTATGGTGCAGAAACTTCTGTGGGGTTTTTGTTGTTTTGTTTTTGATTTTGATTTTTGGAGACCGGGTTTCACTATGCAGTTCAGGCTGTCCTTGAACTCATGGCGATCCTCCTGTCTCAGCCTCCTGAGTGCTGGGTTTACAGGCGTGCACCCCATGCCTGGCTAGGCTTTACATTTATGTCCTGACTCATTTTGAGTTGCTTTCTGTCTATGCTGAGAGGTAGGGGTCTAGTTTCACCCCTCTACACGTGGATATTCAGTTTTCCCAGCACCATTTGTTGAAGAAAGTGCCCTTTCTCCGGTGCACGTTTTCCTAATTGTTGTCTTTATGAGCCCTCCTGGGCCACACCTGACACACACACTTGTGGGGAGCTGGTGTGCCACCCAGCGCGCCTTTGTCCTTTCTCACGCGCCCTTCCCTTTGCAGCACACGTTTCGGGCTCCTTTGTTGAACACGTGCTGGTCGCACGGGGCATGCTCTGCCCTCTCTGCTGGTCTCAGGTGGCACAGACCGGCCCTTTTGGGAACCATAGTGTTGTAGTATGCTTTGTGCTCGGGTGTTGGGATCCTCCAGATTTATTCTTTTTTGTGCTCGGGGTGCTCAGTGTTTTCTCTGAGCCCATATGAGCTTTATTGGGCTGTTTTTCT